CAGGGCTCACCGTAGGGAGTGACTGCAGGCTGGCGGCTGCTAGGAGGCAGGTATTCTTATCACCCCTGAGTTCCCTCGGGGCTCACTGGCTCGCTGCAATCAGAGATGAATTCGACACCCTCTGTCCACTGCTATGGCAGCGAATGGTCCATTTCTCTGGAATTTCACCATGCAGTGATACTCACTTTTTGCCTTATCTGCACATGAAATGTGTCACATTCTCTCTCTCTTTCTCTTTTTAGGCCATGCCATGTGACCTGTGGGATCTTAATTCCCCAACCAAGGATTAAACCTGGGCCTTCAGCAGGGAGAGGGCAGAGTCCTAACCCCTGGACCACCAGGGAGTTTCTTGCCACATTTTCTTATTTCAGAAATGTGGCGTTTTTCTTTTACACTGTTCTCTTTTCAGGTTTCTTGGCAGATGTAGCAGTTCACTGTGGCAGACGTCTGGGGAGCAACACCTTCAGTGATAGCTAGGAGAACCGCATTTCTCACAAGGAATTGTGCCCCTGACTTAGGGCCATCTGTTGTAAGGTTAGCTGCACTTTATGGAGTCTATGCTGCAGGGTAGGTAATCAGGCAGATTGTATGCTGAGTGTCCAATATGAAAAACTTTCTGAATGAGGAATCACCTCACACTGGTCAGAATGGCCATTATCAAAAAGATTGCTGGAGAGAGTGTGGAGAAAAGGGAACTCTCCTACACCTACACTATTGGTGGGAACATAAATTTGTATGGTCACTTTGGAGAACAGGATGGAGGTTTCTTTAAAAACTGAAATGTAGAACTATCACATGATCCAGCAGTCCTACTCCTGGGCAAATATACAGAGAAAACCATAATTTGAAAGGTAACATGCACCCCAATGTTCATTTACAATGGACAAGACATGGATGCAACCTAAATGTTCATCAAGAGAAGAATGGATAAAGAATATGTGATACATATATACAATGGAATATAAAAAATAATGAAATAATGCCATTTGCAGCAACATGGATGGGCCTAGAGATTATCATACTAAGTGAAATAAGTCAAAGACAAATATCATATGATATCACTCATGCGTGGAATCTAAAAAGATTGTAAAAATGAATTTCTTTACAAAACATAAAAGGACTCCAAGACTTCAAAAGCAAACTTATGGCTGCCAAAGGGGACAATTGTGGGGGGGAGGGATAAATTAGGAGTATGAGATCAACATATACACACTACTATATGTAAAATAGATAATCACAAGGATGTACTACATAGCAAAGGGAACGCTATTCAATACTCCAGTAATAACCTATTTGGGAAAAGAATCTCAAAAAAAAATGGACATATGTATATGTGTTACTATAACTGAATCACTTTGCTATACACCTGACACTAATATAACATGTAAATCAACTATTTTTAAGAAAAATTAAATTTAAAAAAGAAGCCCTCTGTCTTAAAATGGATCTGCCTTCTATTTTAGGCTGCTTCAACTACCCGGGCAAGTCTTCTCTGACCATAGCCCACTCCCACCCTGTCCCCAGATGACTAAGGCTCTCTCTGCTCAGAGACTGACTCCCTCGGACCACCACCACTTTCTCTCGTGTTTCCCCTGTCAGACTCTAGAGCTCTTCTGGGAACAGGATGCCTCTCACTCATCTTCAGATCCTGTAGCTGTCCCAGTACCTAAGAACACATGGCAAACACTCAACAAACCAAATTAAATTTGAGCATCACACAGGAGCCTGGAACCTACTTAAGAAATGGAGAAGTGCATCTCCAGTTTAATGCTTCCATTTTCATTTGGGACTGAGGTGATGTCAGACTTCCCCTCACTGTGCAGTCCTTTCACTCGTCTCTCATATCACTCAATAACCTTAGAGGGACTCTTGCCTGGGGCACATTCATTGCAACATTTATGTTATGTCTGTTTGACATTTAGCATGGCCCAACTTGAAACCTAGCTTGGGTTGCATTTTTTTCTGTTATCTCCTTAGACTCTTGATGAGTTTCTTAACATGCCAAGTCTTATTGGAGATACATCGGACTCCAGTTTACCAACAGATACTCGGTATTTTTTTAAGTTAGAAATGTTTTCTTATAATCATTTTCTTATCACTGGTTGATCTTGAAACAACTTTACAAAAAAGTATTTTGCCCTTCTTGTCTCTCCATCTTACAGCGATTTACATTTCTTCATACACTCTGCTAATAACTAACCATTGCCATGTATGAAACGCTAGGGCAAGTGTTTACATGCTGCATCTCATTTATTCTTTACTTCAGCCCCATGAAATGGGCACCTAAAAACACCACCCTATTTTATTTATGAGGAAATGGGTCTACTAAGATTAAGAATAATCTCTTCCAATTTTGATACATAATGGAATCTTTCTTCCCAGCTTTAAGTTAAAGGTCTGCAGCCTTTAATGATCTCTCTGTACCATGAAACGATTACCACAATGAGTTTGGTGAACATTCATCATCTCATATAGGTTTAAAATGAAAGAAGTAGAAAGAAGCTATATTTGCCTTGTGATGAGAACACTTAAGATTTACTCTCTTAACAACTGCCATGTAAAACATTGTTGTTTAGTAGCTAAGTTGTGTCTGACTCTTTTGCAACCTCATGGTTTGTAGCCTGCCAGGCTCCACTGTCCATGGGATTTCACGGGCAAGAATACTGGAGGAGGTTACCATTCCCTTCTCCAGGGGATCTTTCTAACTAAGGGATCAAACCCACATCTTCTGCACTGCATGTGGGTTCTTTACTGCTGAGTCACCAGGGAACCCCCTACAACAGTGTTAATTATACTTACCATGTTGTACATTACATCCCTTGTACTTATTTATTTTATAATTGGTCCAGTTTCCCTGACTCCATCTCCCACCTCTGGTAACCACAGATCTGATCTCTATTTCTATGAGATTGTTTGTTCATTGTTTGTGAAGTATAATTACCCTACAACACAATGCTATGGTAGTTCATGTTATACAACATAGTGATTGAAAATTTCTGTAGCTTTCAAAATGATCATCACAATGTGTAGTTACCATCTGTCATCATACACAGATGTTATATAATTATTGATTATATTCCCCACACTATAATTTTCATACCCATGACTCATTTATTTTGCAACCGAAAGTATGAGCCTCTTAATCTTCCTCACATATTTCTCTCCTCCCCCAACCACCTCCCCTCTGGCTACCACCTGTTTATTTCTATATCTATTGTTCTGTTTTGTTAAGTTAGTTCATTTGTTTTGTTTTTTGGAATCCACATATAAGTGCAATCATACAGTATTTGTCTTTCTCTGTCTGACTTGTTTCACTTAGCATAATACCCTCTAGGTTTGCCCATGCTGTGGCAAATGGAAAGATTTCATTCCTTTTTATGGCAAAGTAAAATTCCATTGTGTGTGTGTGTGTTTGTGTATGTATATGTATATATATCACAACTTCTTCATTCATCTATTGATAGACACTCAGTTAGCTTCTGTATTTTGACTATTGTAAATAATGGTACAGTAAACATAGGATGCACATATCTTTTCTAATTATTGTTTTCATTTTCTTCAGATAAATTCCCAGTAGTGAAATTGATGGATCATTTGGTAGTTCAATTTTTAACTTTGTGAGGAACCTCTATACTATTTTCCATGGTGACTACACAATTTACATGCTTATCAACAGTTTATAAGAGTTGTCATTTCTCAGGACTTCCCTCATGGGCCAGTGGTTAAGAATCCACCTGTCAATGTAGGGGACTTTGATCCCTAGTCTGAGAACCAAGATCCCACATACTGCAGGGCAACTAAGCCCACGTGCCCTAGAGCCTGTGCTCCACAACAAGAGAACTCACCGAGACAAGCAACTTGCATACCCCATCTAGAGAGTAGCTCCCGCTCACTGCAACTAGAGGAAGCACATGCACAACAACAAAGACCTATGTGCCACAATGAAAACCCAACATGGTCAAAAATAAATAAACAAAAATTAATTGACTATAAAAAAGAGTTCTCATTTCTCCACACCCTCACTCACACTTGGTATTTGTTGTCTTTTTAATAATAGCCATTCTATATTAAAAAAAAACAAATAATAACCATTCTGACAGCTATGATGTGATATCTCATTGTGGATTTTTTTTTTGAAGTATAGTTGACTTACAGTGTTCCAGTATATAGTATAGTGATACGTGTGTACACACATACACACACATACATGCACATATACATTTAATGGTGAAAAGTTGAAAGTACTTCAACTTAAATACATACTTTTTCAGATTCTTTTTCCATACAAGTTATTACAAGACACTGAATATAGTTCCCTAAGGTATACAGTAGGTCCTTGTTGCTTATGGTTTTGATTTACATTTTCCTGATGTTTAGTGATGTTGAGCATCTTTTCATATGCTGGTTGGCCATATGTATGTCTTCTTTGGGAAAATATTTAGATTATTTGCTCACTTTTTTTTCCCCACTTACAAAAGGTAGTCTATGTTTGCTTAGAGTCACAAGCAGTTGACTGACTCAGTGTGACTCAAACCACAAAGACACCGTTTCTCCTTCACTCCATTCCGGGTCCCAGGGTTGGTGGGCGCCCAGCATGGCAGGGGGCCTGCCCGTGGCCCCTTCACAGATTCACAGGTTCCTCGTTGCAGGCAATCTGTGACTCTGTGAGGCTGACCAGATAGGCCACCATCAACAGGTCTTTGATGTTGCTGTCGAGCATGGTCTGGAAGTCCTCGGGAGCTATTCTGGGTACTTGGCTAACCAGACTCATCAAGAAGTGGCCCAAGGTACTGTGGGCTGACGCCTTTCCAGACAGCGAGTCCTCCGCCTACTGCAGCACCGTGCCCGGGGCGCCGCCGACTCGCCGCAGGTCACTGGAGAGGCCGACCACCCGGTCGGGGCTAAAACAGGCCAGGTCAACTCCAGCGCGTGCAGTGTCTAACGTGGGTCTTTCACGGTCAGAGGGGTGACCATCCCCCACGGCCTCCGAGGAACACGCATTAAAGTGCCGAGGAGGCCTTGTCGCTCACGCGGCCGTTCTGGACGCTGGTGAGGTGGATGGGGTTGGGGGCTTCTGGGCTGTAGTCCTCGTGGATCGGCATGGAGTGCTCCGTGATGTCGTGGCCCGAAGCGTGCCAGCCCACGATGAGCTCCTCTGGAGAGACTTTCCTGCACACTTGACACGTGTTCTTAGCAGATTCCACGTCAGCAGTCACCTCATCTTCTGACGCACTGTGTGGCCCTGAAAGGCAGTTGGTGACTTCCCCTGAGTGCGTGTCAACGGGTCCCACAGGGTCCGGACAACTCGGGCAGCTTTCTCGTTGCGTCGCTCGTAGCTGTCCGCGATGGAGGCCAAGATGACCGGGCACAGCCGGGCCACGCGCCGCCGGGGAAGGGGCCTGGGAGGGCAGGGCCCGACAGCGACTGTGCGCGGGGTCTGCGCTGGGGTCCGGGATGAGGCCGCAGCCGGGGCTTTGGGTGGGGTGGCGGGAGGGCGCTCGCCAGCCCTGCGGGTGTGTGTCCATCTTGTCCAGAGAGTATTTGCTCACTTTTTAATTGAGCTGTTTTTTTGCATTTTTGTTGTTGAGTTATGTGTATTCTTTGTATATTTTGGATATTTACCCCATATAGGAAATACTGTTTGCAAAGATTTTTCTCCCCCTCAATAGGTGGTCTCTTCATGTTGTTGACAGTTTCCCTCACTGTGAAAAGCTTTTTAATTTGATGTAGCCCAATTTATTTATTTTTGCTGTTTTTTGCCCAAGAAGCTGCTGCTGCTGCTGCTAAGTCACGTCAGTTGTGTCCGACTCTGTGCGACCCCATAGACAGCAGCCCACAGGCTCCCACATCCCTGGGATTCTCCAGGCAAGAACACTGGAGTGGGTTGCCATTTCCTTCTCCAATGCATGAAAGTGAAAAGTGAAAGTGAAGTCGCTCAGTCGTGTCCGACTCTTCCTGACCCCATGGACTGCAGCCTACCAGGCTTCTCCATCCATGGGACTTTCCAGGCAAGAGTGCTGGAGTGGGTTGCCATTGCCTTCTCCCTTGCCCAAGGAGATTATATATTAAAAATATTATTAAGACTCATGTAAAAGTGTATGGGTTATGTTTTCTTCTAGGAGTTTTATGGTCTCAGATCTTACCTTTAAGTCTTTAATCCACTTTGAATTTATTTTTGTCCCTGGTGTGAGAACATATTCAGCATGTAGCTGTCATGTTTTTCAACACCATTTATTGAAGAGGCTGTCTTTTTCCCATGATATATTCTTGCCTCTTTTGTCAGAGATTAATTGCCCATATAAGTATAGGCTGATTTCTGGATCTATATTCTGTTCATTGATCTACGTGTCTATTTTTGTGAGAGTATGATACTGTTTTGATCACTTTAGCTTTGTAGTATAGTTTGAAATCAGAGTACATGATACCTCCAGCTTTGTTCTTTCTCAAGATTGTTCTGACTATTCAAGATCTTTTGTGTTTCCCTACAAATTATAGAATTATTTGTTCTAGTTCTGTAAAAAATAAATAATGCCATTGGTATTTTGATAAGTATTGCATTGTATCGGTAGCTTGCTTTGGGTAATATGGTCATTTTAACAATATTAATTCTTCCAGTCCATAAGCACAGGATATCTGTCCATCTGTTTGTGTCATCTTTAATTTCTTTGATCAGCATCTTCTAGTTTCCAACTATAGGTCTTCTACTTTCTTAATTAGATTTATTTCTAGGTGTTTCATTATTTTTGATGCAATTTTACTTTTTAAATATTTCATTTATTTATTTAGTTCAGTTTTGGTTGTGCTTGGTCTCTGTTCTGCCTGGGCTTTTATTGCGGTGGCTTCTTTTGTCATGGAGCATGGGCTCTAGGCCGTGGGGGCTTCAGTAGTTACAGCATGTGGGCTCAGTAGTTGTGGCTCCCAGGCTCTGGAGCACAGGCTCAGTACTTATGGCCTACAAGCTTAGTTTCTCTGAAGCATGTGGGAATCTTCCCACATCAGGGATTAAACCCCTGCATTGGCAGGCAAATTCTTTACCACTGAGCCACCTGAGAAGCCCTTTTGATGGGATTTTAAATGAGACTATTTTCTTAACCTCTTTTTTAATAGTTAAATAAACTGTTAGTTTTTAGAAGCACAACAGACTTATGTATATTTATTTTATATCCTGCAAATTTACCAAATTCATTGATGAGTCCTATTAGTTTTTTGATGGCATCTTTAGAATTTTCTAAGTATAATATCATGTCATCTGCAAACTGTGACAGTTTTACTTATTCTTTTCCAATTTGGATTCCTTTTCTTTCTTTTTCTTGTCCGATTTCTATGACTAGGAGTTCCAGCACTATGTTCAACAAAAGTGGAGAGAGGGGACATCTTTGTTTTGTTTCTGATCTTAGAGGAACTTTCAGCTTTTGACCATTTAAATTTTATTTATTTATTTATTTTTGGCTGTTCGTGGTCTTCAATGCTGTGCATGTGCTTTCTCTAGTTGTGGTGAGTTGGGGCTGCTCTGTAATTGCAGTATGTGGGCTTCTCACTGTGGTGGTTTCTCTTGTTGCAGAGCTCTAGGGTGCACAGGCTTCAGTAGTTGTGCTGCAGTAGTTGTGCATGGGCTTAGTTGCTCCATGGCATGTGGGATCTTCCTGGACCAGGGATCAAACCCATGCCCCTTGCCTTGGCAGGCAGATTCTTAACCACTGGCCCACCAAGGAAGTCCCAGCTTTTCACTGTTCAGTATGGTGTTAAACTGTAGGCTTGTCATATATCACCTTTATGATCTTGAAGTACGTTCCCTCTATACCCACTTTCTGGAGAGTTTTTAATCATAAATTTAAATCATAAATTATGAACTTATCAAAAGCTTTTTAATAAACTTTTTGTGTTTCTGTTGAGAAGAGTATATGATTTTTGTTCTTCAGTTTGTTAATATGATGTGTCACATTGACTTGTGAATATTGATCCATCCTTACATCCCTGGGGTAAATCCCACTTGATCATTGACTGTGATCTTTTTAATGTATTGTTGAATTCAATTTGTTAATATTTTGTTGAGGGATTTTTCATCTATGTTCATCAGTGGTATTGCCCTTTAATTTTTTTGTGTGTGATGGCTTATTTGGTTTTGGTATCAGGGTGATGCTGGCCTTGTTGATTGGGTTCAGAAACATTTCTTCCTCTGCAATTGTTTGGAATTATTTGAGGAAGATAGATGTTAACTCTGCTCCAAGCATTTGGTAAAATTCACCTATGAAGCCATCTGGTCCTGGACTTTTGTTTGTTGTAAGTTTTAATATTACTGATTCAACTTCATTACTGGTAATTGGTTTGTCCATATTTTCTATTTCTTCTTGATTCAATCTTGAGAGGTTGTACATTTCTAGAAGTTTGTCCATTTCTTCTAGGTTGTCCATTTCATTGTTGTATAATTGTTCATAGTAATTTTGTTAATAATATGATCCTTTATGTTTCTGTGGTGTTGGTTTTAACTTCTCATTTTTCATTTCTGGTTTTATTAATTTAGGCCTTCTCTCTTTCTTGATGAGTCTGGCTAAAGATTTATCAATTTTGTTTATCTTCTCAAAGAACCAGCTCTTGGGCTTCCCTGGTGGCTCAGTGGTAAAGAATCTGCCTGTCAATGAAGGAGACATGGGTTCAATCCCTGGCCCAGGAAGAGTCCACTTGCCATGGAACAACTAAGCCCATGTGCCACAACTGCTGAACCAGAGTTCTAGAACCCTTGAGCTGCAACTTCTGAGCCCACACACTGCAACTACTGAAGCGCATGTGCCTAGAGCCCATGCTCCACAAGAGAAGACACTGCAGAGTCCAAAATTATGCACTGGGAAGACCCAGAGGGATCGGGTGGAGAGGGAGGTGGGGGGGGGGGTGGGATGGGGAACACATGTAAATCCATGGCTGATTCATGTCAATGTATGACAAAAACCACTGCAATATTGTAAAGTAATTAGCCTCCAACTAATACAAATAAATGGGAAAAAAAAAAAGAAGACACTGCAATGAGAAGCCTGCACACTGCAACAAAGAGTAGCCCCCACTCACATCAACTATAGAAAGCCTGTGTGCAAAAACAAAGACCCGGAGCAGCCACAAACAAATAAATCTTAATAAAATAAAAACAGTTGCTAACATACTTTAAAAAAGATTTTAAAAAAAGAACCAACTCTTAGTTTCATTGATCCTTTTTTTCTATTTCATTTATTTCTGCTCTGATCTTTTTATAGTTCCTTTAGGTGTAAAGTTAGGTTATTTGTATGAGATTTTTCTTGTTTGCTGAGGTTAGCTTTTATCACTATAAACTTTCCCCTTAGAACTGTTTTTTTATGTCATATAGATTTTGGATAGCTATGTTTTCATTTTCACTTGTCTGTAGGTACTTTTAAATTTCCTTTTTGATTTCTTCATTAATCCATGAATCACTTGAGCTGATTTTCTCTATCCTTGATGACCTTTATCTGAATACCCATGTAAGAAATAGTTAACTCTCCAAATACTTTTTCTGGACTCATGGTACAGTTTCATACCTTTTTCTGGGGTCAAGAAGAGAGAGTTCAAGCTCAGGAACCATATGGAAATTTAATATTTTTATGTTTTTAATCATCATGTATTTATATTTTATGCTCTACCTTTTTTTTCGTGTAATAGTATTTCAAATGAAACTTTCCAGTTATTGGAACTTCTGAATTGCTGAATACATCAAGCTGCTGGGAGAACCATGTGTTTAGAGAGGGCATAGAAACTGCCCTCCCTCATCCCATACTGTGTCCTATGCATGTCTTCCATTTGTCTATTCCTGAGTTGTATCCTGTGTAATAAACCAGTAATAGTAAGAATATTGTTTCCTGAGTGAGTTGTTCTAGTGAGTTATTGAAACTTGGAGAGGTATTTGTAGGAACCCCCCTAATTTATAGCCTATTTAGATAGAAGTGTGGGTACCCTGACCACGCATTTGTGACTAGTGAATTATGTGAATTATGGGACTGAACTCTTAAATCTGTGGTTTCTGACACTAACTCAGGTGGTTAGTGTCAGAATTAAATTGAATCGTAAGACACCTAGTTGGTGTTAGAGAAACAGAGAATTGGCTGTTGGTGAGAAAAAAAACCCCACACATTTGGTATCAGAAGTATTATGAGTTAAATCAGTTATTTCATTGTCCATAGAAAATGTGGTATTTGCTAAACAGTCTTTGCTCAGTGAAGCATGTGGTTTGGGAAGAGGAAAAATGAAAGAATGGAGTATGGGGAACCTTTAACCCCTGGTGGTCACATGGTCACCCACAGTATGGAGCAGCAGCTGTGCTGGGATAAGTTATTGATACTAACAGTAAAAGTTAATAATTCATGGGGAGTTCATCCACTGGATACATAGGAAATGCAAACTAATTAGAAAAAAGTAAAATACACAGTCCTTTGGTTATTACCATCTGTAAAGACTAAAATGAAATTAAAAGAGCCCTGAGTCAGAACTTGATGCTGAACCAAGCTCAGATTTCTATCAGTCTGAGCTTCAAGCTCTAGACTCAAAGCTACCCCAAAAGGAAGGATTATGTGAGAAAACAGAGCAACTCTAATACCTCTGGTCACCATGGAGGTGGTCCATACTGGTGGAGGGCAAAATCAAGAAACTATTGAAACAAGAGTGTATAGTATGAAGAATCTGCCTTATTTTGTGGATTGGTTTATCAACTTCCTGTAGAACCATTAGTAGAATGGATTATGAGAATAATTTAGGGACACTGTCTTTGCTTTTGAAGGTTGCAAAGTGGAAGAGCATGTTTAGGTTGATGTAGGACCCACAGCTCACTATGGAACAATCACAGATGGCTATACAAGATCTGAAATATTGTAGGTTATTCACAAGGAAACACCAGTCTGGTGAATGAATGAAAGCCAACATAAGTTCTGTTTACCCTGAGAAGGGAGGCTATCTGACTCTCCCTATAAATTCCAAATGAACATCACACATGAGACAGCTGATATGTTCTGATGCAAGCCGTGTAGGACAGGTTTTATGATAACTGGGATGTTCACCTGCTGAATATGCCTGTGTTAATATAAAACAATAAGACAGCAGCAAAATGGAACACCAAAGAACTCCAACTCAGGACATAAAATCTTTGATGAAGCACCAAGTCTTGAGAAAAAGGGGAAAAAAAAATTTTTTTAATACAGGAAAAGGGGGAGTTGGGAACAGCTGTTGCAGATAAGAGTCCATTGGTGGACCTGCCTGGTGGTCCAGTGATTGCGACTCTGCCTGCCAATGCAGGGGACACAAATTCGATCTCTGCTCCAGGAAGACTCCACAGGGCAAGTGGAACCAAGCCCATGCACCACAACTACTGAGCTTCAGTGCTCTGCAACAAGTGAAGACACTGCGAAGAGAAACCCCACAGGCCTCCACGAAGAGCGAAGAGTAGCCCCTGCTAGCCCCAACTACAGCAAGTCCCCACGCAGCAGCAAAGACCCCAGCACAGCCAAAAATAAGTAATAAACAAAAGACTTGCTGCTGCTGCTGCTGCTAAGTCGCTGCAGTCGCGTCCGACTCCGTTTGACCCCATAGACGGCAGCCCACCGGGCTCCCCCGTCCCTGGGATTCTCCAGGCAAGAACACTGGAGTGGGTTGCCATTTCCTTCTCCAGTGCATGAAAGTGAAAAGTAAAAGTGAAGTCGCTCAATCGTGTCCAACTCGTAGCAACCCCATGGACTGCAGCCTACCAGGCTCCTCCGTCCGTGGGATTTTCCAGGGAAGAGTACGGCATTGGGGTGCCACTCCCTTCTCAAAAGGTTTGACCATCAGGGATTTAAAAAAAAGAACCCATTGGAGAAAAATGGAAGTTCCAGATACAGCGACTTTTCATTGGCTGAGTTATGACAGCCTCTCATTGGCTGGGCTGTTGCTGAGCGAGGAGAAATTCTTCCTCCTCCCGCTTGGTGTAAAGTATTAACCTTTTTCCCGTTGGATATACAAGGGTAGTATTCCTATAGGGCCTGCAATTGACTTCAGATGCTAGTGCCTGAGAGCTCCCTCTTCTGGCCTCCTGGCTCCATTTTAAATGAGGGTTCTGTTTATTGATTTTCAACCTGTTACCCAGGTCATGATAAAAGCCATGGTTAAGGGGGGTGCCCTTTTCCACTGCGCACCATATGTAACTTTACTGATGCAAAATCAGCAATAATCCCAGAAGCCTTTTTGAATTCGCTGTCTCAGCTTCTCCTCATGGGCTTTGCAGTTGCCAGTAAAAACACCAGGTTAATGAACAAGCCAATGTGAGAATGTTGAAGTTGGGGGAGGGTCAAGGAACACAGCCCAGCAGGGTGGACGTCTTTAGAAATGGGATAAATTAAATGGGACATCGATTGGATTGAAACAAAAGTCTTAATACAGCAGGATTGAAGGTTGGGTGGACAAACGGCACCCGCCCCCCACCCCCGGGGGCTCCAGATAAGTGCTAAAGGGACCCCCTGGTGAGACCCAAAGATGTTCATTCTATTTGCTCTCAGTTTGAAGAACTTTTTTTTTTTAATTTATGAAGCTGGCATACAAAGAATTGCAATGAGAAACCTGACCTGGGATGGGGCAATAGCTAGGCAGTGAACCAAGGTAAAGGCTGTTAAAGTAACCAGATTACAGCCAAGATGGAGACATTCATGCTAAGCCACTTGTCAGCAAACCAAAACTGCACTGTATGCTGGGCTCTCCCAGGAAAGGAGAACTTAGGCAGACCTTCAGCTTTTGGCTGTTCAGTGCAAGTTACCTGGCCCAACACTTCTGACTTCCCTTTCCTCCATGCAAGGCAAGACCCAGTGTAACTTCCTTCTTTCTGCTCCCTTCTGCCTATGATTCTTGCCTTGTACAACTCTTTGAAGCTCCTATATATTGCTAGATTGGTGCTCCCCAATTTATGAATTTCTGAATAAAGCCAGTAAGATCTTTAAATTATACTCGGTTGAATTTTTTTCTTTAACACACCTGACAAAAGGCCAGAGTCCACAGGCTCATTCCCGTGCTGCAAAGGGGACGCAACACTTTATGTACTTGAGTGGGTGAAATAAGGGAATGAAGGAGAGATCCCTAGGACTCATTGACACGGAAGCCCCACGCCCTTCCTACCAAAATGTATCAGTGAAGCCTGAGGCAGGCTTCAGTGAGATGGAGAGAAGACAGTGATAGATGGGCTGATAGGATGAAGATGAAGGTTTGGGTGAAAATTGTAAGGCTTACATGGGCTTTATGTGAAAAGAGTATGTCTTCTTTACATGAACGATCTGAGGGATGGATATCATGTCTGAGTGCAGACCGCCTCCCTTACCTACAGTTAGAGATGTGAGGATTGATGGGGTTAAGGTGAAAGTTTAGAATGAAAATGAGTATATCTGAAGTGGTTGCATCCTTTTTATCTGAATGATTATGGGGCTGGACATTGTGTTTGACTAGGGAACTGTTTCTGAAAACAGAAATTGTGTAAGTGGACCCTTCAGGCAGTATTAATTGGATGTGCTAAATCAGAACCAATAAGACTGCCTGAGCTCAAACAGTATAGAGTACAGACTGGAGTCCTGACATGGACAAATTCTCTGTGCAGGAGCTGTGTGTGGCGCAGAGACTGGGACTTATTGCAAAAGCCTTTGAGCACCTCCCAGGGCTGGGCACTAGGACTTTAGTGAATTTCCATCTGAGGGGCAATCTATCTATCTATCTAGCTTGCTATCATCAAACATTAATCAAAACCACCCATAAGACTGAAAGATAGGAAAAAATCTTGAAATCTGAAATGCCTATGATGTCTTGGATGACATCAGAAAAACACTATCAGGGAGGGCAACACCCAGAAGAGTTCCATAATAAAATGAAAATTTTAAACAGTCAACTATACTACAATTAAAAATAAACTAAAGTGAAATGGTTTATACAGCATCATGCTACCTGTGGAATGCAAGGACTCGCGAGCAAGGAGCCTCTTCTCCCCTAGGACTGACTTTGAAACTGTATAAGGAGTTGCCAGATTCTGCCATTACTTGGACAGTGTCCTGTAAATGCCCTGTAAACTGTACTCAACTGACCAACAAAAAGTTGCTTAGTTTATGGGTCACAGTCGTAAGGTGAACAGATAGCATCCTGTTTGGAAGGCCACCACTCTGATCAAAGAAGTGAAGTGAAGCGCAAGTCGCTCAGTCGTGTCCGACTCTTTGTGACCCCATGGACTGTAGTCCATGGAATTCTTCAGGCCAGAATGCTAGAGTGGGTAGCCGTTCCTTTCTCCAGGGGATCTTCCCAACCCAGGGATGGAACCCAGGTCTCCCACACTGCAGGTGGATTCTTTACCAGCTGAGCCACCAGGGAAGTCCCGATCAAAGAAAGTAAGAACAAATCAGCAAGGGGGGCTGAACTGCATGCTGTTTTCCTAGCAGTGGTGGGAGAATCAAACAGTAACAAAAGCCCCTGTGTTTCGGGTTTCCCCTACTTGTGGGCAAAGACCTATGCCTACGTAAGGAAACCTCCACAAACCCCCCATACAACAGGATCCCAGGAGCTTTCAGGCTGGTGACCACATCATGGTGCTGAGAGGGTGATGCGCCCAGAGAGGACATGGAAGTTCTGTGCCCTTCACCCGCTGCCTTGCCCTGTGCATGTCTTCCATCTGAAAGTGAAAGTGTTAGTTGTTCAGTCGTGTCCTGACTCTTTGTGACCCTATGCCCTGTAGCCTGCCAGGCTCCTCTGTCCACGGAGTTCTCCAGGCAAGAATACTGTAGTGGGTAGCCATTTCCTTCTCCAGGGAATAATAAACCAGTAACAGTAAGTAAACAACAACAATAAACTTTCCAGTTTGTCATATAATTTTTGTAATTATGTAATTTATTGGTTCATAGCAATTCTATGAAATTGATATATAATAGTTTATGTCATTCATCTCTTGTTGGCTTCCCTTTATATTTATTGCCACAAGCACTCTGTATCTACAGCAAGATAGTATTTTGAAATATTCATCTGTATGGTTTTCTTCTCTACTGATCCAGAGGCATATTAAATGTCATAGGAAGAATTGGAGTTGTTAAAACAGGAATGCAGGCAGAAAGAAATAGTTAACTTTTGATTTGCCAACCTAAGGACTTGAAGCCTACTTAAGAAACATTAGGAAACCATAGCCTTTGATTTTGCAATGGAAAATAAAGGACATTTGAGGATCAAAAGGATCCTGCAAAAAAAAAAAGGCAGAGAATGTGTGCCTGAACAACAGATGATATCAAGGATAAACAAAGCCAAATACTAGCTAAAGTGGTGAGGATAGATTTTATTCAGTAGTACTACTGCAACAGGGAAGAGAGTTCAGGATAAACTCAACTTCAGTTTTGCAGGGGTTGAGAATGAATTATAAATTTGGAATCAGTGGTATATAAATGGCATATTAACTGGCTCCCCAATATAATTTCTCTTTCTTTTTCTTCCCAGTTGAGATGTAATTGACATATGACATGTGTAAGGTATAGACTGTGTTATTTTGATAATTTGTGTGTTGCAATATGATTACTACAGTAGTGTTTGCTAACACCTCTATCATGTTACCTAATTGTCATTTCTTTTCTGTGATGAGAACTATTAAAATCTAGTCTCTTAGCAACTTTGAAGTTTATAGGACAGCATTGTTGATGATAATTACTTGCTGTGGGTTAGATCTCCAGAACTTATTTACTAGCTGCAAATTTGCACCCTTAAACATCTTCCCAGTTCCCCCATCCACTTGACTTCCACCCCCAGCCCCTGGTAACCACCATTCTGCTCTGCTTTTCATGAGTTCACCTTTTTTAGATTCCACATACAAGTGATACCACACAGTGTTCGTCTTTCTCTGTCTGGCTTATCTCCTTTAGCACGATGCCCACAAGCTCCGTCCATGTTGTTGCAAATGGCTGAATTTCCTTCTTTCTCTTGGCTAAATGGTATTCCATTGTGTGTGTATATATATAAATTTTATTCATTATATCAGAGTCTTAACTTTGTCCAGGACACCATGTCCCAGGTAAAAGATACTTCCTCTGAATTCCTGGCTGCTGGAAATGGAAACAGAAGTAGCCAGGTAAGAATTCCAGGAAACTTTGTACAAAGTGATAGATTGGACATTCATGCATTTTTGTCATTCCCGCATACACCTGCCTGGGATATGGATTTGAAGCTGGGGGCAGAGCATCTGTCTTGTTATTTAAGGCAAAAAGCCCATGAAAATGAAAGCTACATGTGAGGGTGGTAGAGGGGAACAATCAAGGGTCCCTTGGATGCTGATGACATGGCAGGCTGCTGTGCCGGCCCCAGATCGTGTATTTTTAATCTTACTAGAAAACAAGCCCCCCTACTAGAAAACAAGCTCAAAAGTGAGCTAGTATAGTCACTTTTTTGGCTGTACAGTTGTCCTTCTGTATCCATGGGGAATTAGTTCTATTGCAGGAGAGGACTCCTTCCAGGGCCCGAGACTGGACTCTTGGCCAACACTTAGAAATCAATTGTCTAAGGAGACACAGGCTGACAAAGCAAGAGACTTTGTTGGGAAGGGGTTCCTGGACGGACAGTAGCAGGGGAACCGGACCCAGGAGAACTCCACGCGTGGCTCAGTCTCTGGCTTTATGATGATGCGGTTAGTCTCCGGGCTGTCTCTGGCCAATCATTCTGACTCGGGGTCCTTCCTGGTGGTGCGCGTCACTCAGCCAAAGTGGACTCCAGCGAGAAGTCTGGGAGGTTTGTAGGACATCTGGACTGGAGTCTCATCTCTGCTTTTGACCTGGACCAAATTCTTCTGATTGGTAGTAGTTTGTTAGTTCTGCATTCCTTACAGGACTTCCTGTTGTAAAATAACTCATGTAAGTGGTCACATCCTGTCTGGCCAGGGCAGGCAGGTTCAGTCACTGGTTCCCCTAACAGTTACAGGACCCTGCCCACAAGGATACCAGAATCCAATGATAGATTACACAAAGCTGGCCCTCCACATACCTGTGGGTTCCGCACCCGTGGTACGGGTCAACTGTATACAGACAAATGCAGTCCTGATACTGATGGCAGCTGAACCCAAGGGCCTTAAGGCAATTGCACAGGAGTAGGTGTAGACTGTGAGAGAAGGGCCTGGGAAGAATCCTGTGAGAACTTGTAACACTACCCGCTGGATACTGGAGGCTGACTCGCAAGGGAGAATGTTCAAAAGAGTGCTTAGAGGTATTGGCAAGACCAAGAAGCAAAGTGGGGAAAAGAACAAGCTCTGTCACCAGAATTCAATCCTGGCTCACATCACTGCTAGCCAGGTGACCTACAGTCATTGATGACCTACAGTCATCAATTAAGTCATTGACTTAAGTGTTCTGTGCCTCAACTTTCTTGTTTGTAAAATGAGGGTAATATAATAATAGGGTTATTACGATGATGAAATGCAGAGCTCATACAATAAGTCCTCAGTCAACACTAGCTGTTGTTATTGTGAATCATTCCACACAAAGAGGATTTTTCTTTTTGGAAAGACTTATCTCTTAGGAAGCCTGGCAAATGATATTACCTGCCATGGGATTATCAGACATTAGTCATCAGAATAGTCTAAAGAAATTTCTCTCCATGGTGTCACAGAATTCCTTTTCCAAGTCTGCCTGGCTGGCTGTGAAGTTGTACACTGGCAAAAAGTTTTCCATTCAATAAAACATTTAGAAGTGTTTGTGGAACCCCTCTCACGCACATGAACTGTGTTGGGTGATGCTAGGATACAAAAATGAATGTAATACAGTGTGTGTGAGTGTGTGTATTAATGGGAGAGTGGGTGGCAGCAGCAACTGGTACTCTCTTGTTTTAGCTGGACTTGAACCAGAGCAGGTGTGAACCTGAGGAAGCACCATGTGAAGTCCAAGGATAAAGCTAACTTGGCAGAAGGCAGAGCCAAGAGATAGATATAGTGCGTCAGTGCAATGGCATGTTTGAGTCCTGGATCAAACAACTCCTTGTGAAATGTAATAAAGGGAAACCCTACTAAAATG